GAGAGAGAACCAAATACAATGTAACCAAAGCCCTCTTCTTTGAGAGGTGTCTGTCTTAAACTATCAGTGAATATAAAATCCCAGCACACAGCTTCTTTCAACAAATGAGAAAGGGCACCAGGAGCTCTCCGGGGTCCATTTAACCTAAAACTCATGCCTAGAAAAGCCTATTCCAGTTTTTTAATCCACCCTCCTTCCAGACTCTCCAATCCACATCAGGTACACCAAAGTCAGAGCAGACACTCCCTTCAATGAAAGGGACTGTTTCCCTCACCGGCTGTGGTAAGCCTCCTCTCGGAATTCATAGTAAGCTCGGCCATGTTCATCCTTCTCATCCCGCTGTCTCTTTACCCCCCGCCGCTCACCATCTGAGCCTGCCGGCTTTGACTTTGCACTATCTTGGTCATCTCCTACAAAAAGGAGGGAAAGAAAAGCAGCAGTTTTTATACTGGAGTGTAGAATGCGCTCAGAGCCAAGAGAAACTAACAGGGGGGATCTGAGGCTCTTTCTAATCAGAATGGCCAAATGATTCCCACTACATCCACAAAACGTTTTATCTCCAAAGAGCACCTTCTTGCCATTGGCTGGGATTTTATTAAAAAGGAACAAAGCAAAATGTACAAAACAAAATGAAACAAATACACTGAACACAAGCTAATTACAGTTAATACACTAGATGACAACTGGACAATCTGTGCATTCCACACGTATTGGCTTCAATTAGGTCAAACCTGCAGATTTCCCTCTCAGTAGGATGCAGAAAGATACATCCCCTAAGTCTCAAAAAAGATACTTTTTATAGGTTAGTTTAACTTTGATTCTTGACCGTCAAGTTTAAGTGGTTAGCACCCAATGCATATTCTTGATCACTGCCACAGCTTCAAGATACAGAAGCTTCAATGTTCAACGGTTTGCCTTGCCGTCTCTAAAACGCACCACCATGGCCTCCTCACTTCTATACCAAATGGACTCAGGTGCATGACACAAAGCTGTACTTTCATCACAGGTATTTACTGAGAGTTGCACCAGCAGATCATTTAAGTCACAAGAGACCCATAAATAAGACTGCGCCTTTACGGCACATAATTTGGGGCAAAAAGGTGTTGTATATTTAGCCACATTCTCTACAAGAGGAAAACACCCTGCATTTTTCCTCAGGCGTTGGTATTCTGCAACACCAAGGCCGTTTTTAATTTTTAACAATAATTTCTTTAAAGCAGTCCTCTATGCACCACATTTTTGTTACCTGCTATTTGGAATAATACAAAGGTTATGTAACAGGATTTTTGTTCCAGGACATAGGACAAACAATCTGCAAGTTGCATGTGACTGTCACAGAGTGCATTCCAATTATACCATGAACTCAGTAGCAACCCAAAAAACGTATTATAAAAAGAATTAAGGCATCAACTCACTTCACAGTTAAGGCCCAGAAGGGGCTCTAGTTTGCCTCTCCACCCTGACAGACACTGTTATGGGACAGCCCTAACCACCCAATCACTTCAAAAGAAGAAAGGTCACGAACTCCATGGGGTGATCCTAAGGTCTCTTCCACAACCCAATGGACCCACCAAAACCAAACACCAAACTCGCTGCCATCAAGTTGATTCTGACTCATAGCAACCCCCACTGGGTTTCCTAGACAGTAAATCTTAACAGAAGTAGATTGCCCAGGAGTGGCTGGTGGGTTTGAACCACTAACCTTCTGGTTAGCAGTCAAATGCCTTAGGCACTGCACCACCAGAGCTACTCATGGACTCACCAGAACTTCAATACGACGTCAATTCAAGACGTCAGGGTCCTGAAGGCAAAATGCTAGCACAAGGGCATAAAACAAATCTACAAATATGTCCATCTAGCAACTCAGTGGGAAGATTAAAATTTAAAGATACGAATACAAGCAGGTAAAAGCTGTAGCCAGATAATGTTAATTAACTTATTCCAATGCACTGGATTAAGACTTTCTCTTCACTAGTTAACTATTAAACCTGGCACCCTCAAAGCAGAGGCTGTTCCCCTTCTGCTAAAGTTAAGAACAAGATTAGAGCTCTCCATTGTGTGTGTGTCTCAATCTAGCAACATGCTTTTCCCGAAGCGGACTTTGATGGACTTAGTTTATTGCTTAATATTTTTATGGTGATAAAAGTCAACAGTCAGGTAGCCCAAAAGCCTACGCTTCCAACTGTCAGTCTGGCTGTCCGCGCGATAGTCAATTCCTCAGCGCATTCACGGCTTGGGAAAAGATAACCGGAACGGCGGGACACTGTTCCACAGGTTGTCCGAGTGGTTCACAGGCTAAACCACTCACTTCCATTCACTACCACCAAGGGGTCAAGTTAGGCACGGACCTCTCTTGCAGACAGCGGAGCCACCAGAGGCGGTCCAAGCGATCTGAAAGATGCGTAGAGATGAAAACCACCTCCCCTGGGGAACTGCCACAAATGACAATGGGCATCTGACACTTCCAGGCAAGCAAGAACAAGGGATCGAACCCCAGGTGCAGGACGGGGCGCTGGATCAGAGACGCACCCGGCAGTTGGGAGCCGAGCTCCGCTGCCAGCTCCTCACCCTGTTCCTCCGCGGCCTTGTCACCCGGTGCCTCGGATCCCGGAGTCTCGTCCCCGCTCCGCTCCTCGGGCTCGTCTTCCTCCCCTTTGCTGGTGTCCTGCTCTTCGCCACCATTCACCCCACCTGACCCGGCCGTGGCCTCCGCTGCCTGTTCGGAAGCATCGGGTTCGGCCGCGGCCTCTACGGCTGCCGCCTCCGGGGGCTCCGGTGGCGGCTGCGCAGGCTGGCCCGAGGCCATCGCTGGGGGTGGCTCTTCGTCCTCGTCCTCCAGCAGCGCCTCCTCGTCTTCCTCGTCCTCCTCCTCTTCGTCCTCCTCGTCCCCGCCCGGGCCGCCGCCCGGCGCTGCTACAGGCCGAGGCTCCGCCTTGCAGGCCCCGCCGGGCCCGGCCCCGACACCGCCGGCCTCGTCCTCGAGCATCTCGGCGTCCAGCGCCTCCTGCAGCCGCTGTGCCAGATCCACCTTGAGGCCGCGCGAGTCCAAGCCCCGCCGCTGCAGCTCCGACCGCAGCTCGGTCACTTTCAGCCGCTTCACCTCCATCGCCGCCGCCGCCTCCTCCGCCTCCCGCCGCCTCCTCCCCTGCGAATCGTCGACCGAGCCCGACCGCGCAGGCGCCGCCGCCGCCGCCGCCCGCCTCCGCCTCACGCGCCAGCACTGAGCCCGCGCGAGCGAGCGCACGCACACACGCACGCAGCAAGGGCTGCGCGCAGCCTCAGCTACGTAGTGTTTGTTTCTCCTTCCTTCTCCCCTCCCCCTTTCAGCCCACAGAGCGCCAAACAACGCCACGGGAAGCTAGTTCCCTTCCTGCACCTCTCGCTTCCCCTACCGCGGGCGCGCGCGTAGTACGACGGATTGCCCCTCCCTTTCCCTCCGCCCCCTTTCACATCCTGAACCAATCGCCGCCTGTAGTTTTACTGCGCAGCCGCACCGGAGACTGAGACAGGAAAGGCTGGCTGGGACTCAAGTGCCTCGTAGCACGGAAGCGTGTGCGCCCCTGTTTTCCCACACGTCCGGCGGAGGATTCTACGCAGCTGTGCGGAGCACCTTTTCCATACAACCCCTCCCATTCTCACTGCCCTTACTCTCGTCCGGCTTCCAATTGAAGCTCTTAACGAGTTTGCTTGCCAGTCTCTCTTCCCTAGTGAGTATGCATGCAGCAAATTCTTGAGACTAAGATCAGATTATCGTTTTCCACTTTTTTTAAAATAAAATACATAAAGGAAGTCATGTATCGCAACATAAAGACTACTAACAATTGTTTTTCTGCCTAACAAAGTACTTCAGGACCAAGGAACACAGTACCCCCAGGTGCTCTTCGCTCAACCCCTCTATTTCTGCCCAGCAAAGATGCCCTGACCCCGCCTTTCTCTCTCGCTCATTGGTGGGCTTGAATCGTTTTCTGCAGTTCTGATTGGTCATTTGTGATTGCTCGGATTTTTCCAATTGGCTGAAGTGCCAGTTGTTTTTTTTTTTTTCCCCGGGTTGGTCCGCCAGGAAGGCTGGAGAGGTGGAGTCATTTTTGTGAATCTCTTTTCCCGGGCTGTTTTTGATTGGGCACCGTGACGCAACGCGTGCGACCCTTTAGATACTAAACTGTCGGAAGATCTGAACCTTTGGTCTTGAGTGCTTCCTCTTGTAAGCTCAAATTCAGTAGACTTCCGAGCGTTAGCACTTGCAGAGGGCGGGGAATTGGCCGCCGGGCTTGGTGGACTTGCGACTGAGACGCTATACGGGGCCGTCTTGGTCGCGAACTGGGTTGAGGTGCCCGGCCTCATACTGTAGAGAACAAATGCATGACGAAGTGTAAATAAATGGCTAGGACGGAAAGAAGCCCACTTGAGTTCTTTTAGCAGTTGTCCCCGCCTACTTCCTTCCGCTTCCAGGTCAGGGGGTGGGTCCATAAGAACCAAATCAAACCTTACAGCCATCGAGCCGATAGCAACTCGTAGGGACCCTATAGGACACAGTAGAACTGTCCTCTACCGTTTCCTAAGGCTATAAATCTTCACGGAAGTAGACTGCCACATCTTTCTCCCGCTGAGAGGCTGGTGGGTTCAAACTGCCGACTTTTCGGTTAACAGCCAAACACTTAATCACCGCGCTACCAGGACTCCTTGTCCTAAAGAAATGAGGAAGCCAATTCACACGCCCGCCACAATTTCTTAGGACCTTTGCCTTTCCAGGGTTCTCTTCAACCTGGAATCTACCCTTTATGAATCGATTAATCGCTTTCACAGGAAAGAAATGTCCGCATGGTTTTCCTAAGTAGTTTTTGTAAAGAGGAGAGGAGGGCGTTGTAGTAGCAAACAAGCAAAGCTTACTTCCCAAGGGAGCCTTCGTAAATCGGCTATCAGGTCTAAGTATTTTGCTTCCATCCCCAGAGCCTCAGCTGCTCTTGCACTTCCCGTTTCCGCCCGAGTACTGGACAACAGTTATGGAGAAGCGCCTGCAGGAGGCTCAGCTGTACAAGGAGGAAGGGAACCAACGCTACCGGGAGGGGAAGTACCGAGATGCTGTGAGTAAGTACCATCGCGCTCTGCTACAGCTGCGGGGTCTGGACCCAAGCCTGCCCTCCCCGATCCCTAATCTAGGACCTCAGGGCCCGGCTCTTACCCCTGAACAAGAAAGCTTGCTGCACATCACCCAGACAGACTGCTACAACAATCTAGCTGGTAAGAACAGGGCTGAAGGGTGGGTGGAGATCACCAAGACAGGCACAAGAAAATCTGGCAGAAACGCTGACCTCTTTTTCTACTGCCATCCAGTTATTCCGCCATGAATTGGAACACACTTCCAACCCATAAGGTTGTAATTGCATTTCTGTAGAGCAGTGCTTCTCAGACTTCACCTAGGGTTTGTTAAAACACACCTTTCTGGGGCCCACCCTCAGAGATTCGAATTTAGTACTTCTGTGGGAGCTTGCTTATAAATTGGCATTTCTGACAAGCTCCCAGGAGATGCAGATGGCCCTATACTTTGAGTAGCAGTGCTTTAGGGAATTTTGCACACTGTAGAGACAATAGTGAACTTATGTTAGGGTATTGTTTCTTTAAGAGACATTTAATATATGGGAGAAACAACCCACTGCTACCCACTGCTTCTGCTGGTGAGGTAAGCCATCTGTATTTGATGTTTTGGATAGCTTTTCTTCATTTTCCTCCTTCAAAGTCCACGAGATGGTAACTTAAATAACTTGTATCTTCCAGGACTAAGAGGAGCCCTGGTAGCAGTGGTTAGGCTATCAGCTGCTAACTGAAAGGTCAGTGGTTTGAACCCACCAGCTGCTCTGCATGAGAAAGATGTGACAGTCTGCTTCTGACAAGATTTACAGCCTTGGAAACACTATGGGCCAGTTCTACTCTGCCCTGTAGGGTTGCTATGAGTCAGAATCAGCTGGACAGCAATAGGTTTGGCTTTTGGTTTGAGTCCAGAACTGTAGAGGGCGACACACATTCTAAGCAGCATGGGTCAACCACCATCTTTGAGCTGAGCACTGCTGTTTCTAGCTCTGCTGGTGAAGAAATTTGGTTGCTATGCAATGCATTCACCACCCTTGTTGTCTAAGATGGGACCTTGTTTTCTAAGGTAGCTTTGGGTTAAGAGATGGATGCCAGAATTAGTATCACTGGAAATATTCCACTGAAAGGAGGAGATTTCTTAGTCCATGTAGATTAACCATGTTGTTGTTATGTGCCGTAGAGTCAGCCCTGACTCATAGCGACTCCTCATTGGGTTTCCGAGGCAGTATCACTACGGAAGTAGGATTGTCCAACCTTCCTTCCCAGGAGTGGATGGTGGGTTTGAACCGCCAGCCTTCTGGTTAGCAGTCAAGTGCCTTAGCCACTATGCTACCAGAGCTCCCAGATTAACCATAGAGCTAATGAAATTATTCTGCGGCATTAAAACATTCTGACAGTCCAAGTTGAAGTTATAGAAATAATTAGATGTAGTTTTCACAAATTTTATTTTACTTCATTTTTTAATAGCAACTTAACAATAACAACAATGGTTGTTTAAAAAGTGTTTAACTTTTTAACTTCATGCCTAGGACTGGGTTTGCAGTTTGCTTTAAGTTAGACCATCGGATTCCCCTGGGTGCATCCGGTGGCAGGTGCAATTTTCCCGAAACTCTTCAGAGGCAAGACCTGAAAGTCAGATGCCCCTCCTTCCATGCCCCACGGCTGCAAGTGGAAAGAGCTGGGGATGAGAAACAAGGTTCTGGACCTTTCCTTACTAGCCCTGCCTTAACCAGCCATGTGACCCGGGCAAGCTGATTCTTTTCTCCTGGTTCTAGGGAGTGTGGTCTGTGGTCCCTTCTAAGCTGAAAACTGGAAAATTCTAGGACTTTGGCAAATTGTGTGTGTATCCATGTCATTCAGAAAGAAAACAGCACCAAGTTTGTTGATTTAGAGTAAGGATGTGGCAGAGAGATGCACTAGGGTAACTAGCCATCCACATTTGCCTGGGACTGAAAATGTCCCAAGAAGTGGGACTCGCAGTTCTAAAACTGGGAAAGTGCTGGCAAATGGTCACCCTGTGTGCACAGTAGGCCACACATCAGCTTCCCTGACCAATTAACGGAGGTGCAGTGTAGGGGAAGCCCGGTCCAGAGGAGACTGGTAAACCCAGTCGGCTTTCTAATGGAGTCTTGATGGATGGAATGAGGGGGGAACCCCACTTCAGTGCCAACCACATTCTTCAAATGAGAACACCTTAAAATGCTATTGACTTTAATCTGTTTTAGTAACATCCCTATGGTCTGGCAGGTACATATATTAAAGTCTATAAAATAGAAGTGGTAGGCAGCCGCCTCAACACCAAAAAAAAAAAAAAAATGGTGTTTTGTGTGTGTGTGTGTGTTTGTTTCTTTACTACAATACTTGTTAGCTATGGTTCTGTGGACACTTAACTTTTTCAGTGTGTGTCCACTAGGAGTGTACTACTTTTAGATTCAAATAACAATAATAGTACTTGTAGTTGCTAAAGGAGCACTGATGGAGCAGAGGTTAAGTGCTTGGCTGCTAAGTGAAAGGTCAGCAGTTCAAATCCATCAGCCACCTGCCGGAGAAAGATGTGGCAATCTGCTCCTGTAAAGATTACAGCCTTGGAAACCCTATGGGGCAGTTCTACTCTGTCTTGTAGGGTCATTAGGAGTTGGAATTGACTTAATGGCAGTGGATTTTTTTGTTTGCTTGCTTGTTTGTTTTCGTAGTTACTGATGTTTCAATTCGTTCAATTGAACAACTCTTTGTCAGGTGTGGAGAATACAGCTCTGTAATAAAACCAAGAAAGATCCCTGTGCTCATGGAGTATATATTTGAGTAAGAGTGGTGGATGGACAATAAACTTTTCAAAAGAAGTAACATATGTAATACATTAAATAGTGGTAAGTGCTATGAGAAAGAATAAAGTTGAAAATGAGGCTTGTGAGTGCTTCAGGTATAGAGGTGGTCGCTTTTTTTTTTTTTCAATGTGCCAGATACCAATTTATTACATATATATGTATGATTTTATTTATGATGTTGAGGATCTACAGATACACATAGCAAAACTTTATACACCAATTCAACAGCTTCTCCATGTACTGTTTACAGACATTGATAACATTCTTCATGTTGTATAACCATACTCACCCTCCTTTTTGAGTTTTTCCTCCCCCTTTAACATAAATTCACTGCTTCTTAAGATTCTGATCCAATCTATCGAGTTGCTGTTGTCAATTTGATCCCATATAGGTAGGTAGGTCTTAAAAGAGCATAATGTTCAAGGCAGACCTTTTTTTTAACTAGTTAGGGGGTGTTTGCTTTTCAAAAGGGTGGCAAGGTAGGCCTCAGTGAGGGGACATTTAGGAAATGCCATGGCAGATACTGTTTAACACTTTACACATGTTGATCTATTTAAGTGTGATAGCAATCCTTTGAGATACATTGAAGGAAACAGTTACACAGCTAGTAAGTAGTGGAACTAAAATTAAACATAGGCAGTCTTATAGCCAGAGCTTAAATTCTTACTGCAGAATACTGTACATTATTAGAGAATAGAATATCTAGTGGGGACTTGACCAGAAATCAGGGAAATTCGATGTTTTCAGATGGGTACTTGGAAATATCCAGGGCTTCGAATTGGTTCTTCCCAGTTTGGTTTTGGCAGACGAAGCTATACTGGAATGGACCCAAATTTATAAAATTTGAGTGTACCGGAACGATAACCGGAACGGGAAAAATTCGGGGTTGCGCCCTGCTAGAAACTTAATATCCCTCTTAGAAAACGGGCGATATTTGTGTTGCATACCAACCAAATCTCTTGACTGGCAGAGTTGGAAACAATGGTGCCCAGCTCCAATATGGCAGCTGACTGTACTACTTTGAACGTGTGTTGCTCTCCATAGTCCTGGCACTCATTCAGTCTCCTGTATCAGCCTCTGAAAGGGCTCCTGCCGCCTGTTCCAAGTCTCCCCTTCTAAAGCTTTGACCTATAATATGTTTTCTGTTCCTGTTATTATGCTAGTACACTCACATTTTACAAATTCAGGTCTGTTCCAATCTCACTGTGTTGGCCGGGACCAAACCAGTTTGAACCTGTTTGAAGCCCTGGGAAGACCTTGATGCTGCAGCTCCAGGTGGACTTGATCTGTCAAGCCTCTGCTTGGGGTGCTTGATAGAAGACCCTTTCTAAATTAATTTAGTTGTTTTATGTGTATTCTTCCTTGTTTAATCAGGAGGATACCTGTCTTGTTTCTTGTATTCCTGCTCCTAGCCCAGTGCCTGCCACATGGTCAGTACTGAATAACTAGTTGTAGAATGAATGAAACTAGGCTGATGCATTAGTCAGCCCCTGGAGAACTGTCTGAGCATAAGCCATATGGCCACTTGGTGGGGATATCATAGAAGTGGTGGAAACATAGCCCAGGCGTATTAGTATCCTCATCAGCCCTTCTTGGCTTTCCCAGCTGCTGTTGTAATTGGCGAGTTGGCTGTGCCTCATGGCAACCTTATGTTTAACAGAATGAAAAGGTGCCCCATCCTGTGCGGTCCTCACGGTCGTTGTTCTGTTTGGGCCCAGTGTATGGTTTGTGCTGAGCCATCTCACTGAGGGTTTCTCTCATTCTCACAGACCCTCTGCTTTACCAGACTTGACGTCCTTTCTAGCAACTGGTCTTTGCTGATGACGTGGCCAAAACTAAGCGAGCTGAAGTCGCTTCATTCTCCTAAGGAACATTCTGGCTGTATTTCTTATAAAACTTAATAGCAATATGCTGAATTCCCACTGTTGAGACATTGGGACTGCATTTCCCTTCTGTTGAGCATTGCCTTCGAAACAAATTGGTGTTTTAAAGTCCTGTAAGATCATCCAAGGGAACAGTGGAATAGTGTATCGTCATTGAGAGTAATGGTGATTTTGGAGGTGGAGTGTCCTTGGTTCAGATTTCAGACTCCACCTACAAGCGGTGACATCTTGGACAGATGACTTTACCTCTCTCAGCCTGGATTACTTCATCCATTAAGTAGAAATAGTAATACTTGCCTATTTAAAAGGATTGATGAGAAGATTAAACAAGTGTTTAACAAGTACAAAGCACAATGCTTGCTAGTTACTCACATAATTAATTGCAGCTGCTTTGTTATTAAGGTGCTTCAGTGGCCTAGTGGTTGAAGCTTTGAGTTGCTAACCAGAAGGTCAGCAGTTTGAACCCACCAGCCACTCTGTAGGAGAATGCTGTAGTCATCTGCTTCCATAAAGATTTACAGCCTTGGAAACCCTGTGGAGCAGTTCTGCTCTGTCCTATAGGGTCGCTATGAGTTGGAATGGACTCAACGGCAGTGGGTTTTTATTGTTATCAAAGTTGTCCCAAGCTGTCGTACAAGATCAGTAGTGAGATGGTGGATTCCGGCCAGAGAGCCTTGGGTGGAAGAGGAACAATGAAAGACAGTATTAGATAAACTTGAAAGTGTGTTCTTATCGGTTCCAGGGCTGGGCCTAACCCAACACTAGGTACCCAGCAGGCACTTAGTAGATACTGAAGTAGATTGTAAGGTATGTGAAACTTTTATTCATTACTGCATCCAGAGTGCCCAGCAGAGTGTCTGGCATATGGTGGACAACTAAATGTTTGTTGAATGAGTGAGTGGTGTTGGTATCGTCCACTGCTGGGGCCTGCATTCAGCCGGCCACTGGAATTGACCATCTCTGAAGCCTTCCTCCCACTTCTCCCTCTCGTTTGGCCCCGTTAGCTTGCCTTCTTCAGATGGAGCCAGTGAACTATGAACGAGTAAAGGAGTACAGCCAGAAAGTTCTGGAACGACAGCCTGATAACGCCAAGGCCTTGTACCGGGCCGGGGTGGCCTTCTTCCACCTGCAGGACTACGACCAGGCTCAGCACCACCTCCTGGGTGCTGTCAACAGGCAGCCAAAAGGTGAGCGGGAAGGGGACTGAAGCGGTTAGGACAGATAACATCGTCCCGCTGAGGTGCATCTGCGGATAAGGGGTTTGTATTACACTTGTTCAATGTGTTGAATTTTTTGAATAGTTAATACATTCACATGGTTCACAGTTCAAAATGTGTGAGAAGATATACTGTGAACAGGCTGCCTCCCATTCCTGTGGGCCTGTCTTCACAAGAAAGTATTGATCTTGTATCTGTTCTCCAGAAATGTTTGTTTCATGTGTGTGCACACACGCACAATACAGTTAATCCCCGGATTGTGAACATCTGACTCAGTATAACCTATGGTTCCGAACTAACCCGTATGAGTGCAAACCCAAAGACCACACATAAGAAAAGGCAAAGTGGCATCCCAGGTGGCTCCAGCCTTGCCCACGCCTCCTCCAGCAACAGGTAGGCGTTCCCTGCACACACACACACACACACACTTTGACCCTGTAGCAACCCACTCAAACCAAGTCTGGGAGGAGATGGCAGCTCACCAGGTGCCCAGGGTGGGCAGTGGCATCTCCACTACACCCTGGAGCCAGTGTGGGCACTGTCTAGGGCTGTTGGGGCCTGGGCCTGGCGTGAGGCTGCAAGAACAGGCCAGGCTTTGTTCTGCACCATCTGTCTGGGCACCCCTTTGGCACTGCCTACAGTCCAGTGTTGGGTGGCAGCCCCAGCCTAGACTCTGGTGATCCTCAGCCTTACCTCAGCCACAGCCCTGGCCTCACACCAGGCAGGTCCATCTGGGGTGCCAGGCTCTTGAGAACAGGGACAGCGGAGAGAGAGAGTCCCAGTGCAAGAGAGACAAAATCTCACCCGGGTCTCGCCCAGAGACGGGCACGAGGCTGAACACAGACCCTCCCCTTGCAGCTGGCAACGTACCATGGTGCATGATAACAAGACAGGCTCTATTTTGCCGGGCACATCAAAATATTAAAAAAAAAAAAAACTGCCATCGAGTCAGATCCAAGCCATAGTGACCCCTCCTTGGGTTTCCAAGGCAGTATCACTATGGAAGTAGATTGCCCAACCTTCCTTCTGAGGAGTGGCTTGTGGGTTTGAACTACCAGCCTTCTGGTTAGCAGTCAAATCCCTTACGCATTACACCACCAGAGCTCCCAAAATATCATTACTGTATTATTATGATAGAGATGTTACACTGGAAATGTTACTTTAATGTTTTTTATGCATAGAAAAGGCACACTGTATACAAAGACAAACATTTCACTAACTGATATTAGATACAGACTGTACCAACTAAATCTTAAAGACATTTAGGAACAGAACTGGTTCATAGGCCGGGGACTGCCTGGGTATATGTGGGGTCCCTGGGTAATGCAAGCAGTTAATACTCTTGGCTGCTAACCAGAAGGGTGGAGGTTTGAGTCCCTGAGGGGTACCTTGGAAGAAAGCCCAGGTGCCTTGGAAGAAAGCCCGTGGTGTGGAGTTCCGCTCTTGACGCACAGGGGTCACCATGAGCCAGAGTCGACTCAGTGGCAGCTGGTTTGGTTTTTGGTTTGTTGATGTGTATACATGATTCCCCTCACTTAGTGAAATGGGTTTGAAGGGCTGCTTTTCAGGGTTCAGTTCCTAGTTTTCAGGAATGTGACTGGAGTATGACCGGGGTTCCAGTGAATAAACTTGCTGCCAGCTCTCCAGTTCTAGGGTCTGGCCATTGCTTTAGTATCATTTTATCCTTAGCTCAGCTAACCCCAGGTATGACAAAGGGCAGGCTCACTAAGAAAGAATTTGAGACTTGGTACTTTGGTTCCACGGCCAAAAGCTATTGTGAGCAGATGACAGACTCATTTCTGTGCTGCTTGGCTCAGCGCTGGAAACTGCCCCTTTTTGGGATCCTAGCTTACTCTAGCTACTGGCTGCTAGCAGCAGAGGGCCCCCAAACATACAGCTATGCAGTAAAATCTCACTAATTTAAAAGAATGCGGAGAACCACTTTGAATTAATAAAAATATAAAATGTTAACTATTTGTTCATGTTTATTACCTTCAAATACATTATCGCCATCCACACAGACAGTATCTTTAGAGGCTCTGCTATAGTTTTTTCTTCAGTCATTTCCTTCATCATAAAATTAGCAACCAGCCTTGTTTTTTTTTTTTTTTTAACCTTTTACTGTGATTTGGGTGAAAACTTATAGAGCAAATTAGTCCCCTGCTCGACAATTTTGTTTCATGATGTTTGTCGCAATCTCCTCGGTCTAACAGGGCTCTTCCCACTTCCTCGCTGGGTTCCCTGTTGCCATTTGCTCATTTTTCCTGCCCCACCTTTTGAACGTTGTTTTTGGGCAAATGCTGCCCTTTTGGTCTCGTAAGGTTGATTGTTCTGAGGAGCACGCCCCTCACGAGTGTTAGTGTTCACTCACAGGCCTGCAGTTTGGCTGAAAGGTGATCTCTGGGAGGGGGCTCAGTTCCAGGTTTGAAGGATGTCTAAGGGCCGCACTCTTGGGGGGTTCTACTAGTCGCCATCAGACCAGTACGTCTGGTCTTTTCATAATTTTGAATTTTGTTCTACATTTTTCTCCCACTCTGCTCATGATCTTCCACTGTGACCCTGATGAAGAGGTAGGTAGTGGTAGCCAGGCACCGTCCAGTTCTTACGGTCTCAGGCTAGTGGAGGCTGTGATGTGAGTGGTCCCTCAGGCCTTTGGACTTGTCTCCTTGAGTCTTTGATGTTCTTCACTCTGCTTTGCTCCAGGTGGGAAGAGACCAATAGTTGTGTCTTAGATGGCTGCTCACAAGCTTTTAAGACCCCAGTCATTACTCACCAATGGATATCTAGCATTGTCTTCACAGACCAGGATATGCTACTTGACCTAGATGTTCCCCAACCAGTCAAACTCTTGTAGAAAGATTTTAAAAATTCAGTAGTGTTAATTAATGAGATTTACTGCTGCAAATGGAGAACTGTGATACATTGAAGTCTTAGAGAGACAGGAAAAAATGGAAGTGTGGTAACAAGCCTTTCCTCTCCCAAGGTGTAATTAGGGCTAACTGCCTCTTAACTGCTCTCTCCATCCTCTTTCAAGATGCCAATGTCCGGCGGTACCTCCAGATGACACAGTCAGAGCTCAGCAACTACCATCAGAAGGAGAAGCAGCTTTACCTGGGCATGTTTGGTTAACAAAGGAGAAAGGTGCCCCTCCACTTGAACTCGGGTGGAACCCTGAAGATCCATCACAGGAAACCCAAGCCTCAGCAGGAGACGTCAACCCCATACCTCTGACCCACGTGGATTTCTGTTTCCAGATCCGCACAGACTATTTACATAGCCCGTGTCTCTTTTTCTCTCTCCATATGTTTATTTGTATAGCTTTCAGTATATGTTATTCTTAGGGGCTTTTACCTTGGGAAACGGTTTCATCAGAACATTACCATGGAACATTTACCAGAAGACATTCATCAGCTATGGACGGAATTAGTCCTTTCTGTGTCCTACATTTTAAGGATCTGGTTAGATGTATTCATGTACGGAGAAGGGTGACAGAGGACGGAATAATAAGAATCGGCGGAAAGCAGTTTGGTGTTTCGTTTCCTCTGCCCAAAGCCAGACTTACGCAGGCCACAAACTGGGAAGTGTATTTTTTGTGAAACTGGAAATGTATAAATTGGGCCCAAATGTACTAAAATGAAATCAGTGAGTGTAATTTAACCATTTTGGTTAAACTCAATCCTTTTCCAACTTGGTGTCCACACACACTGAGGTTCGATTTCTCCTATGACAGCATCTGCTCCCTGCTGTTTCTAGTCCTTGGCACTGCTCATTCTCAGACCATAAATACAACACACGTTATTTATTTTTCCATTAAACTATTCTATCTTGAAACCTCATGAGTCAAGTATTTGAGTATTTATTTAATAACCCTTCAGGTTGCATGCCAAAAAAACACCCAAGTGGACACTTTAATTTTTAATAGGTGCATATCTATTAAATAATAGGTGTTCGTTTCTCTAATAAAAAAGGAAAGACAGATCACCAAGTCTTCTGGAAACAGTACCACCATAGAACAGGATAAAGTCATAAACCTAATTTTTACCTGTTACCTTGTATCTTGCAAGAGTGCAGGTCCTTAACAGAGGAGGGAAGCAGGAAGGGCTTCCCTTGCTGCCTTCCAAGCACAGCTGAAACTCTCCAGACGCTCTGTTGGGTATGGTTGCAGGTCTGGTATAGTCATGGCTCAATACAAGTTTCCATCAACCGGGAGCAACTCTGTCATCCTGCTTACTGTTTGTGGGTTATATCCACAATGTTGTGGGTGCATAGGGGAGACCATGTAGTTCTGCCGCTACCTTTATGAGCAGAAGTAATAAGCATGGGTTAATAGCTATCACATAAGCAGAGAACAGATTATAGGGAGGTAGGTGGGACCACCTTAATCTTGCCCAAGGTACATGAATTCTCACTTTTCCAGGAACACCCTCTCCCGGGGGGCTACAGTCCTCTTTGTACCTCTCTACCCACCAGCCACTCCTCGGAAGGAAGGTTGGGCAATCCTACTTCCGTAGTGATACTGCCTTGGAAACCCAAGGAGGGGTTGCTGTGAGTCGGGGCCGACTCCACGGCACATAACAACAACAACAGCAACATACTTCAAAGAACACAACCATCAGCTTCTAACAAAGTTTCTCTACTAAATAATCGGGGAGCTCTGGTAGCATAGTGCCTAAGGCACTTGACTGCTAACCAGAAGCCTGGTGGTTCAAACCCACCAGCCACTCCCTGGAAGGAAGGTTGGGCAATCTACTTCCGTAATGATACTGCCTCGGCAACCCAAGGAGGGGTCACTATGAGTCAGGGCCGACTCAATGGCACATAACAGCAACAACAACAAACTAAATAATCTTAAGACGTCCAAGGACCGAACTATTGTATTCCTTTTCCAGGCTGCTTACAGTTCTCTGAAGCCTAGGTTTATGAGCAAAATTTTATCCTGGTTACATAGTTCGTTTGCTTTGGGAAACGAACTTTGATTTTTTGTTTTTATATAGACTTGATGTTACATAAGCTATCATCTTGGGCATCACTGAAGAGAAAAATAAAACATCCTTAAAAACTTACCTGAGAAATGTATTGCACAAATCCTTTTATTAGCACTGCTAAGAGATAGCAAAGCATCAGGCTGACGTTTCAGTTTTGATCTCTAACGAAGATGTCAATGAAAAGGAAAGGAGATACAGACAGGCAGTCCAAAGGGTCTTGAGGAGGTCTGGCAAACCCACCACCTGAAGGATCAGCCACAGGTATGGGAATCTCCTGAGTTTTGTGGAGGAAGAAGCTGCACAACTTATCAATCCTTGTTTTCCACAGAATTTGAAGGTTTTAAATGAAGAGAAAGGATTTGAAGTGGATGTGAAGGGTACTTTGGCACATAATGGACAGTTTAAAACAGAGTTTCCCAAATTCACGCCCCACCTTCAGAGTTGTGTCCAAACTCCATACCACCTGTACAATATTTAGAGTATTTTTTATTTAAAAGACGTATCTTTAAAATAACTGTTGGACAGAGGAACGTGTTAAATGATGCCATGGGGATACAATTAATGAAATCCAGACTGGGAAACCATCAGCCAAACCAGTTTCTATAACAAGTAAATTGCAAGGAAAAAGGAGGAGGGAAAACCTATAGATTAAAAAAGGCTGAAGAGGTATGAAAAAAAATGTGACGGTAGTCCAGATTCTAATTTGAGGAAAAAAAAAAAAGGTAATGAGACCATGAGGAAAATCTGATTAAGAGTTATTGTCAGTTTTGTTGAGTGTGATGATGGTAATTGGTCTTTTTTTTTTTTTAAGTCCTTTAGAGATGCAGCTTAAAATTGCTTACTGATGAAATGGGGGAGGACTTTATGTCACTTATGAAGCAAAATCCATGAAAATAAATATGTTTTACAATAAAAACGTGTAAGTGTATGTCTGAGTACACCATCTTTGGAAACAATGGTTTCAGAGAAAGTTGAAATCAAAATCCAGCGTGAAGGGCTGAAGTGTCTGACACAACAAAAGAGGTATGCCTTTACTTGCTTTTTACCAAGTAAAGGTGTAGGCTTACCAAATAGCCAATTAAGAGAAAAAACAGCATCCTAAACTAGAAATCTCTCTCTCAAGCTGGAAAAGAAAGAGTGATTGTCTGAAAACGCATCAAATTATAGCTAACAAGCCAATTCTCAGGGTCAAACTCTTCGTAGGCTGGGGCCTGGCCCATCTGCCCACAAAGGGAGGCACACTGGAGCTCAGTATAAAAATCCAGTTACTACTGAGCTGATTCCAACTCATGGTGGCTCCGTTTAACGATGCGGGCTGTCCGACAATGGAATAGGTTTGCTTTCAGGGCAGTGAGTTCTCTTTCAAACAGAGGTTTAATAAAAACTAGCGAAAGGAGACTCTGGTGTTGGAGTGGAGGTCAGAGAAGCCGACCTCTCACAAGCCTGTGGTTCCCACCTTCCAGAATCCACAGACGGGACCTGGGCCTGCGAGAACAGTGGAAACCATGGGTCACAGCTCTACTGACTGGAGTAAACTGTCCCTAGTTTCCAGCAGACGGTTTCTCTACACTGAGGTCACTGTGGCCTTAATTGCGCTAATTATTTATCTCGTTTCAATCATATAAATTCCCGACTACTCTGGTAGCATAGTGGCTAAGGCACTTGACTGCTAACCAGAAGGCTGGTGGTTCAAACCCACCAGCCACTCCTCGGAAGGAAGGTTGGGCAATCCTACTTCCGTAGTGATACTGCCTCGGAAACCCAAGGAGGGGTCGCTATGAGTCGGGGCCGACTCGACAGCACATAACAACAACAACTAAAACCACTTTCAACATGGGAGGCAGGTCATGCTGGGAACTGAAAGTGAATGCTTGCTTTTCAAAGCGCAGAGCCTCTTTAGGCCAGTACTGCACGTGGCCATGACCTGACCAATAGCAATGGTTACTGTGCTCCCTGGCCTGTACAGACACGCAGAGAAACTGACATACACAGATCTTTATGATATCTTGATTTTAGCAACTGATGTTCTGAGGCAACCATTTTTTTTTTTCCTTCCTTTTTTTAAAAATTGAGTTGTAATTCAGACCATAAAGCTCATGCTTTTAAAACCAATTGATGCTTAAAGGCATTTTGATTTGATCTTTAGGGAAGTTTGGACAAGGTGTTCCATTCAGCTAGAATAGCTCTTACTGTATTTATTTCTAGGTTGCTTCACTTCACCAAGGATTTGAGGCAATCTATCAGCATAAATAAACTAGAACCCATTTGAAAGATAAATTAGAAGGTTATTCCGACCCAAGGAAAGTGAAAGCATAGCATTCACTCTTTCAGCAATGAACATGCCAAGAGTCATCTTTTGCTTTCTACAACGTCCCAGCTAAGGAGCTTTCTCTGGCCAAAGCTTCGCTGCTCAGTTGCCTCCTTCCTGTAATTTAAAAATAGCAGCTTGCTATTCAGAGTTCACAGTACTGAATATAGTATATAGATCAAAGGGGAGAAAGGATTCTGAAAACTTTCCCCTTTCCGTTTTCCTTTCTGCCTTATTTGCACTCAGTTCCTCACGTGCCAAAGAGAGAAGGGCTTGCAGGAAGGCCTCTACTAGATCCTAGAACACTCTTCACAACACATTTGGAGCTCTTACCTTCCTGGAGCGCTTTTCTTTACTATACTGTATCAGCACCCCAAAGCCCCACTTCTCAGCTATCTCCAGTCAGTAACTCTATGTGAGACCTCAGATGAGTAATCACCTCTCTAGACTGTTGGCCACCACACTTTTAAAATGAGGGAGTTGGAAAAGATGAACGGCAAGAGTCATTCACCTGGGACTTTGTATCTTAGTCTTTCTTCCCTAACCAGGCACCACTGGGTTGACTCTGCCTCAGGGTGACACCATGCGCGTCAGAGCGGAACTAGGCGCCACAGGATTTTCAATGGCTGACTTTCCAGAAGCAGGTCACCACGGCTTTCTTCCCAGGTGTCTCCGGTGGACTTGAACCTCTAACCTTTCAGTTGGCGGCTGAGCACACGTTAACCATTGGCACCATCCAGGGACTCTACTCTTCCATGTTGTCGTGTGCCTTCAGGTTGATTCTGACTCACAGCAACCCTACAGGACAGACTAGAACTGCCCCATAAGGTTTCCTA